CAACACCTCGGAGTTCGTTCCAAACCGACACAACTATATTGAGTACTCCTCGCAGTTCTTTCCAACACCCGGACTCACCGCAGATGACCAGCAAAGCCGGTGTTGTCGTCACCTCTTCCAGAGCCTCGTCCCGAAGATCCAGCACTGCGTCCGCCGCTTCTGGTAAACAAAATATTTCTATATTTATTATTGTGATCAACATTTTTATTTTTAATTTTATTACCTGGTAAACACTCGAGTTTTGAAAAATAACTTTATTAAAAATCTTGGTTTAATTTTTTGCCGTAATTTGATTTGCTATACTTGTTGTCCATAAAATAATTTATAATGTGTATATTGTGAGAAAGTGTGATGTATAAAAGTAGTGTTTCATTATAATAAATATTATCGATATATTGTGCTAGGTTCTTTTATTGTTGTTTTGCCATTAATTTAAGTTTTTATATTGATTTGGTTTCCCCAACCTTCAGATTAAGTACTATTATTCTTTATATAAGTTGTACACATGTTTCTTATCGATTCTTTACGTATACACTACTATACTTTCCTAATACATGTACTAATGTATAGCACAATTCATTTGAAATTTACATAATATGTAATATTACTAATATTATATTAATGTATATGTACTTTAATTAATATGTACTCTAATTTGATATTGTTGAAATTATAAATAATGTTTGACTAACGATTGTATTATGAATACAGCGTTCGCTGTGGCGACGGCCGCCTCAAGCAATCCTCAGGATCCTATGGACCACACGAAGCAATCATTGCCTCAATCGCGAGCCAATAGTCGCCTTCCGAGTGCTGTCGGCACTGACCTTAAGATACCGAACGCCAGTCGTGTGAAGAGAGAGTCTATGATAAGTACGGCCGCAACGATGCGAGTCCTCAATGTTCTCCGACATTGGGTTAGCAAACATTCACAAGACTTTGAAAACGATCCCAAATTATTGCAATTGACGTCTGAGTTCTTGGAAGAGTTGGTTCACAACACAAGTCTACTTCCGGCCGAACACAAGGCGGCGGTTCAGCTCTTGCAGATGATCTCAAAACAGGCCCTCGAATACAGAGATAAAGTGGATTTGGATGTCCTCTTATCGCCACCACTCCTCCCATCGAAGGATAATATAGAGTCCTTATCGGCGCTGGAAATTGCGGAAGTGATGACTTATTTGGATCATAAGATCTTCGTTAGAATACAGAGCGAAGAATTCTTAGGCCAGGCGTGGATGAAGGATAACAAGGTTTGTGTCCCTCTTATATGACGCCAACTGTTAATGCGATCGAAATTAATTGATTTGTTGTCGTGTTTTTCAATAGACAACCAAAGCTTTTCATATATTATTAATGACCCGACATTTCAATGACATCAGTCGGTTAGTGGCCTCAGAGATCATGAGAGTACCGGAAATCCCGAAACGAGTGGCCATAATCGAGAAGTGGGCGGCCGTCGCAGACATTTGCAGATGTCTTCATAATTTCAATGGTGTCCTTCAGATATGCGCCGCTTTTACCAACTCATCGGTGTTTCGTTTAAAAAGGACGTGGGAGAAGGTCTGCAAAACGGTAGGCCATCTTCGCTCTCATATATCATTCTCATTGTATGATTTGATTAAACCCTAAATACAAATAATTTTCAGACAAAGCAAACAATAGACAAATTACAGACATTAGTCTCAACTGACGGTCGTTTTCGAAACATGAGGGAAGCGTTGCATCGATGCGATCCCCCGTGTATTCCATACTTAGGCATGTATTTGACTGACTTATCCTTCATAGAAGAGGGAACTCCTAATTTCACAGACGAAGGACTTCTCAATTTCTCCAAAATGCGAATGGTTTGTATAGACAATCGTATTGTCAACTCTCTCTCTCTCTCTCTCTCTCTCTCTCTCTCTCTCTCGCTCTCTCTCTCTCTC